GCGTTGAGCCATTGTACGTTGAGGTCAAAGAGGTGCGCAAAGTTGGTAGGGTGCGGCGCTCGCTTGTACGCGGCGCTCGCTTGTAAAGCACGTTACCACAGTATGTGAGTATAAAGTATTTATTGCGCTATAAAGTGTTATATCCTTGCAGAATATGTTGATCTTGGCACGTCTAGACTGCAAAGAGTTACGTGCATTGACAGATTCTCACCTGTCCTCAGAGAGCTTGTCGTGTCTTGGCCATTCGGTAAGTGGCTTGCGAAGAAGCTGAAGACGTCCCGAATTTTTTGTTAAAATCCATTGATAGAGTGCTGTGTCGCGATGCCGCAGCTTATGCAATATGACATTCTCGATAGTCGCAAGTGCACTTGGCGTCACATATTTCGATGTTCTACTACGGAGGTTGCGTCGTATACAGCGCGGAGGTCCATGTATCTTCCTGGACAGACGTTTGGGGCGAGACTTAGCGCGATGGCGTTGAACATCGGAACGCTAGAGACATCTGGAGAATGGAAGAGGCTAATTGGCATAGACAAGGACGCCAAGGCTACTAACGCTGGTTGTGATAGTCGGGACAGGGATAACAACTGTCAAGCATCAGAGTATTACCTGTAGATTTAACAAATAAAATACGAATGGCAGACAATCAAGGAAACGCAAAGGCGACACACGCAAAAGCCATGTACTACAGATTTGGCGGTTGGGTACACAGGAGGTACCAAAATGCAGTATACCTCAAGTTGACTTTGAGAGCGGTCATATGAGGGAGTACATGGTTCCTCTAAAATCCTATTTGGGGATTGGAGTTTAACTGTAGGACTATTTGGGCCCAACCAAGCTTGTGATGACAACCATCAAGGCTTGGCTCACCTAGCTCCACACAAACACTCTGACTGATGACAGTATATTCGCATATATGGGGAGCAGCGCTCCAAGACTGATTTAGGCTTGGCGGCTCCTCTCCGATACTTGGCTTGCCGAGCTCACCTCAAATCACTAACAAGACGTAAGGATAAGATCGACCAGATTTTGCGCCCTCATAGAGAATTAAACAACTCTCAATTTGACAGTCGATCCAGGTCAGGCTGCTCTTCTAAGGTATGCGCTTCATTCATACCATCACTTCCTCGTGTGGTGCGGTTAAGCTTCAGAGGTTCGCTGTTCTTAGCACACTGGCGTTGGGCCTCCACTTCTTCTTTGCAGTCTCCAACCTGAAATCCTCAATTCTTCATAAATTCCCTTCATCACCAGTCTCCATCGCTGCACTCGAACAACTTAAGTCTTTTGGCACAGCAAGATGCTTGCCGGATGCAACATCGACCCTAATTACTCGATCGATAGCACTGCATGGCCCATGCGGCCAACGATTTAATGGGACTAGAATCTGAAGTGAAGGACGTGTCGGTGATTTCGAAAGAGGTGAGCATGTTGGATGCGTACAAGTAGGACAAGGAGATCGCGAACAAGGTGTAGTACGTGTGAAACATGGCTGCTATGAATTTCGCGACTCGTGAGGAGTTGTGGAGGAGGGCTGGGGGAACCTTCCATGATGGGCTTCAGGCGATGACGCTTAGTCCTGATGGGTGCATATGATAGGGTGTGTAGGGTGAGTCGATTGTGGTCTATGATGGGCGCGAGGGTGTTAGGATCTGTAAGTATATTGTCGGATTAACACGTCAGGGTTTGTGTGAATTTGAATGTAGCACGCTTTGAGCAGTGTATTTGTGTACGCAGCAATTGATTTCTTGAACGTCGTCCCTGCGCAGTTCCTCGCCGTTGTCCCTCGGCGGTGTTGGCCTTTCTTGGAGACTATCGAAACACTTGCCGCACGACAGAGCGTGCAATTGAGCGGAGTTCAACGTGGCCTCGCCCATACCACCGTAAGACACGTCATGGTCATTTAGGTACTGTTCTTATCGCCCGGAGGCCAGGTATACGGCCTGCGAACGCGATACAAGAATCAGAGTGAAGCACAGGGTGGCCTTCAGTCTTCACCCCGCCTCACTCACAACTTCGCGTTTCTTTCTGCAATTCCTCAATCACCCCAATCGCACCAGTAGATTCGGACCACGCATTATAAATGTATGGTAACTTGGTTTGCATTTCCTGGATGGTGCCCGTGCCCGAGTACCAAGGCATGGCCGTGAGATGATTGCCGGGTCTCACCATAGCCAGCCATATGTACTTGTTTGCCTTATGCACTGCATCGTACAGTCTTCGAATTTGGCGTTTTAGGTCATGTATTGGCGGCACGAGGTTTTCCCGCTGGAAGCTTTCTCCCTTCGCAGCGACCACAGGACTTACAACATGAATTGTTATCAAATCTTGGATTTCCTGTGGAACATATGGCCCTGCTTCCCGCTTCACGCGCTGCAATTCGGTTAGGTTGATCAACAGACGAATCTTAAGTAACATGACGGCGAGGAGCGGCACGACGTGTGGCCGCGTATCTTCCATGAAGATATCGGGGGCTTCGAACATATCTGCGTCTTTGATGTCCACATAGGGCGTGTCCATGTCAGTCTTTCTTGGATCGAAGCGGCACGTCCACCACTTGACAAAGTCGTAACACTCCTGATCGCAGCCTAAGCGGAGGAAAAGGCCTGGTGCAAGGTCCCGCAGATAGAAATCATCTTGGCGGCGTTCGTTTAGCATATCCAAGATGTTTTTCAAGGCTGTCTGCACTGCCGTCCGCGTGTTTAGTTTCATTTGAAGTTTTACCCTGTACGAAACTCGTAAACAAGATAGGTGTGCGAATCATTCGAAGAAAACTTACACAGCAAAACGGGCGGTCAGGTACTGGCGCATCGGATGAATAATCCACAAACGATGTGGCCACCGGTCCTCGAGAGGGTGAGCCCAGTCCTGCGCACCGTCTGGACCTGCACGAAGCTTTGCCTCCTCCTCGTCGCATACCTGGGGTACATGGCGATTAGCATGTACACGGATCTAGACCCCGCACGTGACCCGCCTCACCTGTTGCGCCTTTTTGATCTTGGTGCACACTGACTTATGTTGCTTACGATGTGCATACTGGTGTATGCGACGACAGTAGTGCACTACGTAGCATGCATCGCAGCGAAGCAAGCCGCCCTTATCGCACACAGAGCAACCTTCGATGAGCTTGGTTGAGATGTGGAAAGGACTCGGGTCGCTGTAATATTCTCCTTGCGCGTAGTCGCGATATTCCTCGCTCCAGTCCTCCATGATTCAGGCTGCAGATTCGTACAGCGTGCGAGAGAAGTGTGTTTGTTGTGTGGGGAGTTCGAGGGGAACCAAGACGTGGTTGCCTGCGATACGACAGCTCCATTGCTCTTGCCGAGTCGCGTCGGGTCCCCTGTAGCTCCGTACCATCCTCACACAGCATTGCCATCGCCAGGTCATGTGAGCGCTCAAAATCGGTCAACTTGTGTAGAGCGCAAGGCTTCGGGAGGGGTAGCTGGATTCGATGCCAACGTGGCATCAATGGTTCATGTGTCTGCAAGCCCGGTTCTCTCAATCTTGATGTGTGTCGCCGGTGAACTTGAATTGTGAACTAGCCGCACCGATCGAAGCCAGACAGGACGGCGTGCGACGTGTACATCGCCTGTCGCTATCACATATGCGAACAGTCTGTTCAAGGCAAGATTGATATGGAGTTATCAGATGCCATGACACGTGAAAAGTCGATCCCGGAGGTGTGATCCCCCACCCCGGCACGTGTCGGCGTCTCTTCCGAGCCTCGGCCCTGAGTACCCGCTGTAGCTGCGCCAGACACGACGCCATGACGGCGTCGCAGCCATTGTCAGCGCCATGCAAGACGTCGACATTCGCGATTCGCAGTCTCCGCATTCCGCGCATTGCACTCAATCTGTCGTTAGATCTCGCTGTTCCAACGCCTTTGGATGAAGCGGGCCCGATAAAGCGATAAGTCGCGGGGTGGTCGCGCCAATCGAAGCTCCCATCGCCATCGCCATCGTCATGTCCGATTCCGTGGGTACGTCTGCTGGAGTGGCCGGGCCATTCCCTATTTGCGTTGTCTGCGAGGATCTGTGCTGATGTTTCTTGGTGGTATATAGACCGCGTGTTCAGTCATGCCCTCAACACAGTCAATAAGATCCGCACCGGGTCGCAGAAGCCGCCGTCGGCAACCCGATTGCAGCTGTACGGGCTGTACAAGCAGGCCATGGGTACGCCGCCCCTTGCGCGCACCCTGTCCGCGCCTAACACGCACCAGAGGGCGATGTAGACGGCATCATGGAGAGGCCCGAAGGCCAGACCGAGGAAGTGAAGCGGGCGCGCGAGAAATGGTATGGCACGCGACACCGCATCTGTTTGCAGATGCTGATGTAGGACACAGGGACGCGTGGAAGCAGCAGAATGGCCTGTCTAGGACCGAGGCGAAGAGGAGATACATCACCACACTTATCGACACGATGCACAAGTACGCCTCGCCGTCACCCGACTCACGGGAGCTGGTCGCAGAGCTCGAATTTGTATGGGACCAGGTCAAGTCCAACGTGCCTTCCTCGTCGTCTTCATCGCCTCTGCAGAGCCAAACACTCAGCTCGATGGGGCTGCACATCCCACCAGACTACCAGGGTTTCGCCACCAGAAGGAGCGATCGAGGGAAAGCACGAGCCGTGGGCTTGGGCAACGAACCCGATGAAGACGACGAAGGCCCGCTGCAGATCAAGAGCCCTATGAGCCAAAGCGAGGAAGACCTCGAGCAGGACGAAGCAGACGCCGAGCGCGAAGAAGAGTTCGTTGATGCGCCGGACTCGCAGTACAACCCCCACTCGGAAGACGCCGCCGTGCAGGTCAATCTCAGGCCCCAGGAACCCCTGCCATACACTCCCTCGAAGCCTCCACAACAGCGCAGCTTCATATCCCGTCTTACACCAGCCATCATTCCCGCGTCTGCGCCGCACCCGCCGTACGAGTCCGCTGCCGACAAAAAGTGGCGTGCCCGCGTTGAGCAGGCCCTCGTCAAAATGACGGCCGAGGTCGCTGCGTTACGGGAGCAGCTAGAATCACGACGACTATTCAGCCACTCGCGCAAGTTCCTCTTTCTGAGGTTCATCTGGCGGATTGTGTGGGGTAGCGTAAAACACATTGCCATCGACATGTTTATCCTGGGCATCGTGCTGCTGTGGATGCGGCGGAAGAAAGACCGCAGGTTAGAAGGTGCCATACGCGTGTTGCTGGGCAACGCCGTGGCACAGGTCCAGAAGGTTGGCGGCGCGCAGCTAGGCAAAGTCAAGCTGCCCGCTTTGGTGGCGAAGAAGGGCACGAGTAATTAAGTGGCTGGATCGATATTGTTTGTAAATAGGAGATGCGATTGTGACGTACTATACGATGACGAAAAGTAGGTGTACTCTGCCATTCGCATATACCCACTGTGTTCAGTCACTGCTATCCCGCACAGGATCGATATCCTCGCATGCACATCGATCACGACGCTCCATCCATACTACAAGGCTCGGCTGAGTCGGATGGTACTGCATGGTTTTAATTGGTAAGAATTGGATACATAACACCGGATCAATGCGGTTTAGTACAGTCCTGTATCTTGCTTATGCAGCTGAAAGCGCCCAAGTGTGCATGCGTCAAGTAGGGTTGCCCAAACTCAACGACATCTTAGCACGTTCATAACAGTATCGAATCGTTCAGCTACGGCACCACGCAGCTCCAGGCTGAACGGGTCGTAGTTTTCGTGACGGTGCGGGCCGCACAACGTGCCGACAGGATCCTGAAATTCAGATAAGCACTCCTGTAGGATCCCGCCACATTATCCTGATCTACGACTTTCCAATACATATTTCCAGACACCCGGCGGCACAGTCATCAGGGGGTCGCGAAGAGGGGTATGCTCCCGAATTTGGGTTTCCCACGGCTAAGATGGATGCAGCCTCATGCATACTCGCGGTCCTCGGGGGGCGGAATACCATTAATCCCAGAGCATGTTACGCACCCATATCATCTTTCGACGAATGTTTGGGATAACCCCTACTTGGGATGCGCAAACCCCGTTCTTTGTTTGCATATGTTTGCCTTATGGACGATGCCCGCTGCAAGATCAATTTGCGCGGCGGGGCCCTGGCGCCAGTCGCGCGGCACATGATGGGGTATAAGCTTCTGCTACTTCTCTCCGGACACCAGGCTGAACTTGTTTGGGCATCAGGCTCTTTACTGGGAAACGCTCTCGCGTGATGTTGCTGCGTTGCAATGATAATGGTGGTAGCTTTGTCGGAAACCAGGGGATGAGCGTTCAGTTTCTCCCTGCAGAAGCGAGCGCCGGCATCGAAAAGGCTCTCCAACAAAGGTCCATCGTCATTGCACGAAAGTATGACGAACACAATGCGACATATGCTTATGATCTTATCGATTCCAAAGCTATTGCTTCAAATCGCAGCCCCAGATAAAGCTCGAGCTTATTGGGTAATGCAATCATATCTTGTCGCGGTTTACCCTGTTAACCTCAACACCATGGCTCGGTCCAGCATCGCTTACCCATGCTCTGTACTACATCGCTTCACGCACACATATATATACCACAATAGCTAGTATTCAATCAATCTTCAGTGCCTAACAATTTCTTCTGCCCAAGGTGCGGTTTATCCTCAACCGCAACATATCTACTAGAGCTGATAGACATGGAACGTGAGGGTGCATCTCTAGTAGCGAATAAAGCAATGTAAGGGACTGTGTTGTCATATATGGTGAGAGCATCGGCTGGGGATGAAGGCAGACGACAATTTTCCGACCAGAGAACAGGTACTTTGACCGAGGACGAAATCCTGGTTAACCTGTTCATCTTCCAGATTTGGGGGTGTAGAGAGGATCTCAAACTCGATCGCCTATGGGATTCTAGTACTAGCACTATTACCGGAGATTCAGATCGATCTCATCAAAGCCGTAAAAATAATGCTCGCTGAAGAAGGAGAGGGTGGGCATGATCTGGACCTACACAAAGATTCAAACGAGATGCGACTCTTGCTAGGCTTCATGGCATGTAATCCGATGACGTGATTAAGAGCTCGGAATCATTTGGGCTGATTGGCAAAGTATGAGGTGTTCTGAATGTTCCCTGGATTGTTCTGGATCACTAACATGGTGAAAAGACCCACCAGAGTTTCCATCACATCGCCGACAGAAGGTATACCAGCGTATGTACAGCTTCCAGACGAATGCCGCATATATCTAAACGTTTCGGCTACTCAAACTGGAGAGGATATTGGGAAGATCCGGATACGTTTAACCCAAACCGATGGACAGTATTGCGAGACTGGGATCCACTAAGAAAGTTGAGCGGTACCTTCCTGTGGTTTTCGGACGGGGCATGAGCGTGTCCAGGCCGCAGATTCGCATACGCCGAGGTTGTCTCGTTCTTTATCGCCGCATTGCGCAACCATGCAGTTGATCTGCCACCAGATTTACACGTAGCGATGTTAAAGAGGGATCTCTTCATGACTTCAGCCGGGTCATTTAAATTGTCACCTCCATCTTACTTCCGTGTGGCACTGAAAGTTCAACAGGCAGATTGACAAGTCGGCCAGCTTCAAACTTGTAAACAACTAGTGATCATCTAGCCAAATTTTTAATTGATAAACTCTGTCGATATCCTCGCTACCCAGATGGTAATCTTTGATTTAAGGCTGCGCCCGAGCTTGAAACCTGGGACCAGTCTTTGGAAAACGACTTTGGGGTCATACTTGGCACTGATGGCTTGCAGTCTGGGAAACGCGGCCATTGCACTCGAGAATGGGTGCTGGCGAAGACCCGATGTGTTCAGCCAGTAGAAAGGAAATTGCAGTCATTACTTATTTGATTTCTCCTCAACCCTTTCGATCAACGTCTGAAGATAATTTTCAACTGCGGCGTCCTCAGAAGCCAAATTGGAAGCGACGTAGAAATCCGCGACTACCAACAGTCAAATTCATATCAGTGTATAGTAGCCGTACAGAGTGAGCACTTACCCAATAAGCCACCTTCTATGGCTTCGGGATCTAGATTATAAGGATCCCCTCCATTTGACAGAGCAGCAGCAGCGTAATACCTTGAGATAGGCTCATCTGCTACACCCAAAAAGCCACTCAAGTCGGTTAGTAATTCTTTGGCTGTTTCCACCATCGTCTCCACGAGTATATTCATAGTTCTATTGCTGAATCTTATCGAGGTGGAATACCAGTTCCATCTAGGGACTGTGAGTGCTAGTTTGGTCAAGTCAAATTTGGGACTGACCTGAAAGATCCCGTACCGAATTGAGTGCTCGTAGTGTTGACGAGCTGACTAAAATTTTGTACTCCGCTCCCGATGTCAACAGCCCCCGCAATTGCAGTGAAATTTTCGAACGCCAGTGGATTGTCGATGTTCCAATCATAACGCGCGGTTATGGCGGCATCCAGCGTGTCGCTAGATGTTGTATACCGTGTGCTTGGCATGAGCTCGCCTTTGACATCTTCATGACCCCCGCTACGCAACGGCCACGCAGTCATTGCATCCATAAATTCTTGGTCAGTGTTCCCGAGAAACAATTTGTTAAGTGCGAAGATCGGACCGACTGGGTAGGTCTTGAGATCGAACCGTGTATCGATGCCAAAATTATTCCCACCTGCCCTTTGTGCCCAAAACAAGTCGGGGTACCTCTGTTGATTGACCTGGAGGATATGGCCTGCACCAGTCACAAGCTCGTAATAGAAAACGATGTTTGACATCCAACCGTGCTGCTGGCTCAAGAAGGTCATCCCTGGCCCAAGGATTGAACCAGTTCCAACTTGCCACACGCGGCCGCCAAGCACGAGGCCAAACGGATTCAGAAATTCATAGATCTCACCCCATCTCAATACAGCTTCGAATTTTGCATATACACTGCCAAATTAATAGGTATTTGTGACCAAATCGATGTTGCGAAAGCTATCTTATTAGCATCGGGCCGGTATAACGATTGGTGTTCCCATATGTGCGCAGTGACCCTGTTCCCCTCATACTACTGAGATAGAGATTATATAAGTACTGAGCGGAAGTTCAAGTACCCTCTGAAGCCGCCATAATCCATGTTCTGCATTGGGTCAAAGGAGTAACGAGGGTCCTTAGACACGTCTTCCAGGATACTCGCTGCGATGATTAAATTGAGATGCTTGACAATGTTGCAGAGATAGCGCTTGGTTTGGTAGGCAGTTTCTGCCTCAGGATTAGAGGGACAAGCAGGGTTCCAGAAGTCGACTTCGGGCATGAGATCATCGACTTTGACTCGTGGAACAGAGTAGGTAAGCGTTTTCCGGTCAAGACTTGTACTGCAGGAGCGGAGAGTTCGCGATGAGTTCTGCCATCGGCTAACTCGGTGGTAGTGGATTAAATCAAGGGGCGGTGATTCTGAGGCAATTTGCTGGAGCAGCTCTGGGATACCAAATACAGTCGATGATGCAGACATCGTTGTCGTAGGTTGAGGGCAAAAATAAAATAAGAAATAAGGCAATGTTGACATGTGGAAAACATGTCTTGACCGGACTGGCATGCGGCGTAGCTGAACTTTAGGTATTGTGGAAACTAAGCGAGGCAAATGTTCCAGCTCAACCCCACTGGCGGGGATACCTAAATTCGCACGAGGACATAGATGTCTGCGTAGTTAGCTTCTTAATAGTCAACGCAATGCCCGCAGATTTGTTGTTTATAAGAATCATGTCTTCAGACCTATTTAACGCAACTGAAAAGTTGCCGAGACCTCAAAAACTTAAATCGCCGAGCTCAAGGAATAGATGCCCCAAGTTTACTTCCGCTGTAGAAGACACTCTGTAAGTTGCCAAACGAATGGTGTTGCCGACCTATGTTGATTGAGTGTTGCGCAATGGTATGCGCTGTGGCCATCCTCTGGACGTACCACTCCCTAAGCGACAATGGTAGTATTAGCGTCTGCGAGACCCTAGTTAGTTATGGTTTAATTATCTTCATCTAACCCCACAAGCTTTAATCTTTTCGAACGGAGCTGACTAAGTAGCCCAGATATTGTGTTCGGTGTGGTGTTTAATCGTTGAGTCTACTGAAATTTCGCAAAGTTCCAACAATGATTTGCCAGAACAATTAGAGCAAAGTTTCAAATTAAGCGTCACAAGCTTCGTTAGCGCTGTGCTTTTCACTTCACTATATGCGGCGGACGGACCTCGGAAAATCCTCCGAACCCCGCAAAATGCAAGGGTGTATCGCATGGGGCTCAGGTCTCTCAGCATGGGCAGGCCTGGTCGTGAGAACATTTGACCAATCCAAATTCCACGATGTCCGCTGACCCATCCTGGCTACTCAACTGGATTCTCCGTACTTATTTAACTACACCATAATCGTATGAAGATCTGCGATATCCACCAATTCAACGTGCGGTGATTTTTGGCCATGTCCTCCAATAAGACTACTCAACTCTGCGAGCACTTCCGCATAGTTCCTCCATAAATATTGCATATATTTTCAAACCTGTCTATCGTACTCTTATCGCTCTTTGACTCTCATTTACACTCATCGCAATGAAGTACCTCTCACTCCTCCTACTTCCCACCGTTTCGGCCCAATACTTCAGCTTTGGGAATTACTTCTCCACGGGACCCGTAGCCACCAACTCTTGGATCCGGCAAGCTACCACAACCCTCGTTTTGCCGGCTTTGAACAGCCCACACAATGGAAACCTTGGTTTGTGGCCAGGGATGGGCACCAAGTTCAACTCTGGAGCGGACGGCCATCTCGTTCAGGGCCTCGCTATTTCCACAGTTGGTGTCGGGTAGGCTGATGTCGCCGTCTTGAGCGAATAGAATACTACTCATCACTACCAGATCTCCATGCAACTTTGCTGCATCTGATATTAAGTGGTGCGTGGTTGCGAGCACCTATGATGGTATTGTCTTTCTTGCACCTGAGTCATGTCTTCCAGTTCTGATCCATGTGAAGGAAATCAACATGACGGTACCCCTTACCGCGCCAACCCTGGCGACAGGGTGACATATGACTGCAAGCCTCCTGGATACTTCCGCAGGGTTACATGTTCATAGTGCTTACTCTTTCACAGACAAGTATAACGACGCAACCGCCAACTTCGACCAAACAGTGTCTGTAAACGGCGTCAAAGTCTCGACCTTGTCTACCAGTGCGGCACACTCCTCCACCCTTGGTCTCTTCACTGACTTCTCCTAGAGAGTGGATATGGCGCAGGTTGGGGCACTGGTAAGTCAGGACAGGAGGTGGGCTCCGCTTTAGAGAAGTCACTAATGTGATGGTCTAATAGCGATGGAGTGCCAGCAAGCAAACTGCGGGACGGTTCCGGAGCATCACTACGTCAATACGACTCTCATAATGAACACGGCGGATCCGAACTATAAAAACACAATAGGGTTGAACGGTGCTTCCGGAAATTTGGTAACTACAGATGGAGGAAAGACCTGGACTGTCGCTGATATCAAGATCAACCTGTATACATTTACGTAAGGAGCAAAGTTAGGGAGGATAATTGCTGGTTGTTACTTTTCCGGGATAAGCTAGAGGCCTGTGGTGAGGTTGTTTCAGCTTCTCTTGAAGATACATCAAGTACCGTGTCTATGAATCAGGCAAGTGAGATGCTGTCGCGCAAACCGCCACTACTTGGCCTAGGAATCCAAACATACAGTACACTCGTTTCTGTTATTACTGCAGAATGTCGCCAGTGCTAAGGATTTGCGATGCTTCGGACATGACTATCGTCTGTCAAGATACGACTTTCAAAACTGACAGCATTACGAAAACACAAACGAGGCGATATTAATGTGCTTCAGAACTTGAAGTAACGGATCTAGTTTAGGCTCTTGGAAAGGCAAATAGTCAGGCTAGATAATCCTGGCGTTCATTCCTGGAGTCTCTTGAAACCACGTCGCGTTCGTGTTCGCCTTCTTCAGCAGGTTGACGGGAAGACTTACTCTGACCAACTGCGGAAGTGCAGGATCGCCCTCTAGGCGAGACGGAAATCCACGATACTTCGCCAGAAACATGGAAGACGAGATATTCCCAGCTTTCAGGACGACTTCGGGATATGAAGATGCAAGGATAAAACGGATTCCCCTCCAAAAACAAAGAGATGGCATACCACAGACTCAACAGACACTAGATTTCCGTGTTGTTCCCTAAGGTAGAGGTCCAAAAAAGAAATTTAAACCCGCCATAGCGCCTTCAAATTAAAAGAAACTTAAGTTGCACCAAAAAGCACTACTTGTGTTGCAAGTGTGCAGAATTGCCCTGACCTACAACCCCCTCGCCGCCAATGCCATCTTCAACGTCTGCTGAAACTTGGGAACATGTTCCGGGCCAATCATAGTGTAGTGCTCCCCATCCACCTCCCAGAACTTGAGATCGTTCCGGATAAAGTTAACCCAGCGGTTCAAATGATTCTTGCGGTACTCGACGCGATTCTTCGCCACAGTCTTGAGCGGCTGGCAATAGAAGATATCCATGTGTGAGACGTCACTGGACGGCTCGTAGTCCCAGCCGATCCTCTGCAGTGACCACGATACATCCGTCCAGTTGTGCAGCCCAGCCTGTGTCAGCGCCAGCTCTGCGCATCTCTTGGGATTGCTTTCAGCGAGGAGCAGGGCCACCTGCTGCTCGTGCGGCAATGGACGTAGTTCGAGCATTAATTCCTCGGAACGTTGCTCGGTGATGATGCTGCAGAAATGTGCGATATGGACCATGCCTGCTGTCCAGTCGAGCGTGCGCATGCGTGTCTTGATGTGTGGCGGCAAGTTAAAGGAGCCGAGGAACTGCACGATGTCGCCGTTCTTCTCCAATAGCTTAGCGATCTCAAAGGCGAGCATACTGCCGTATGAATAGCCCGCGAGAGCATAGGGACCCTGGCTTTGTTTGGCTTTCAGAGCGCGGTGATACTCTGTGACTATTTCGTCCTGACTGGTGAATGGTTGTTCACCTTCATTGAGTCCACGCGCGCGCATGGCGTGGATGGGTCGGTCCGGGAAATACTGGACCAACCCGAGGAAGACTAACATTTCGCCTATCCCTGGGTGTACCAAAAATAGCGGAGTCTTATCGCCATTTGGCTGAAGCGTTATAATAGGGTCATATGAGGTGGTGCGTTGTGCCTGCGACCCTTGTAGGACCTCGATAGCAGTCGCTAGGGTACGGATAGTCGTGTAAGTCATAATGGTGATGAGCGGGATATCCTTGATGTCAAATGTATCTTGGGCCACTCTCTTTAGGCGAATGAGGTCAACTGAGGTAACGCCTGTGTCAAGGATAGGTGTATCGATGCCCATATCCAACGAGCCGAGCTCAAGGTCACGAAAAACCTTGATCAGTCTTTTCTCCGTGATACTATCAGGCTGACGTGCATGTTGTTCGCGATACATCTGGAGGGCTTCAGTGTTAATGTCGATCTCGCCTCGATAATCACCTTTGAGTAACGAAGCGCGGACCTTTGCGCGCGACAACTTGCCTAGAGTCGAACGCTCGAGAATACCCGGTGAAAGTGGTAACACACGCGGTTGAGCACCCGTAAAAGAAGCAACAGTGCGGATGATGCCCTGAAGTGCACGCATACGAGCCTCGATGTCTTGCGTATCATACGCACGCTCATACACAATCTGTATGTGTTCCGTGGTAGCATCAGCAGGACGGTACGCAAAGCACACGACACAGGAGAGAGCAACACCTGCAATCTCAGCTTGTTCAATGGCCATTTCAAGCTCGTGTGGGAGATACTTGACACCATTGACGATAAGGAGGTCTTTCGACCGCCCCACAAGCCGCAACACACTAGATGCGTCGATCGTGGCAGTGTCGCCGGTGCGAAACCAGCCGTCATCTGTGAATGCAGCTTTGGTCGCCTCGGGGTTGTTGAAGTATCGTTGGAACACTATGGGTCCTCGGACCTCGAGGCCTCCTTCGCTGACTCGCATGTCGATGCCGGGAATGCAGGTTCCAAGGGCAGTGAATTCGGTCCTTGAGGCCACGTCTACATTGGGGCAGTCTCTGCTATAGATAGATCCAGCGCACGTTTCTGTCATACCAAAGCCAGGTGTTATGATGTTAGGAGTGGGTGCTCCAAGCTTCTGCAGGTGGGTGGATATCTGAACACAGGTCTCTACACCGTTTGGCTCCCCACCAGAGATGAGGTATCTCAAGTGACTTAGATCAATGCCAGAGGTATCGGAAGCCGCGGCAGAATCCAAAGTCTGTTGGAGTTTGGCAAGCATGAAGTTCGGAGCGAATGTCCTTGCGACTTTATGTTTTGATAGGAGGCGCAAGAACAGAAGTGGGTCCGTAATTATATCCGCTGTTGCCACTTGTATCTGGTCACAGCCCGCAACCATGGCAGTAAGATGTAGCTCTGTCAGACTGCCGACATGGTCAAGGCCTATCCAGTTCAAGACAGTATCTTTTGGTGCCAGAGGCATGTGAGACAACTTGCCGCGACATGCAGCCAAGATCTGTTCATGTTTCAGGCAGACCGCCTTCGCGGAACCTGTGCTGCCTGATGTCAGCATCAGTGCAGCGACGTCGTGGAGTGATGTTGACTCCTGTGTCAATTGCTCGATACTATCGCGGTAGTATTCTTCAGGCTTGTCTTCTTGGACACTGGCGTTGGAACTAATGTTCGTCCCGTAACCCGAGTCAGCATCTTCATCAGAGACAGGCTGAAGCTGGGAAGAAGCGACTCTGTCTGAATAGAGGATCGTGCTATAGGCCTTCGCGGTTTGGCCCTCCATGGTATCTTCAATTACGTTCTCGATAGCCTCTTGGATGACCTCCTCGATGACTTCCTCGGAAGATGTTTCGGTCACGATGAACGACGGCTTTGGTGGCGTGGGGGTTTCTAGCGTTTCAGCAGCTACGCAGCGTAGAACGGTGTTTTGCGCAAAATCGGTGCGTAAAAGCTCCTTGGACGTGATTACTAGCGGATCCAGTAGCATCTTGTGGAGATGGGAAAAGTGTGATAAACGACCCTCATGATTGTTGACCAAGGGAGTAGACAGGGCCGGTACGCAGCTGGCCAGGATACTGGCCCAGAACCAGATCATGTTCTCGCGGTGGGATTGGAAATGGACCAGTGTTATCTGGCCAGCACAAACACCGTGATGTTTTAAAGCATTTGCGTTGACCGTTGCTTCATCGCGAAGCTCGCGATAGGATAGACGCTCCGGATGGTTTGTGTCTGCGCCATATAAGATGATGCCGGCGTCTTCACTCGCGCATTGCTGAAGCAGGTCCTCAAGACGAGATGTCGTACTGTTCAGGATATACATAATGGGTGGCGTGTTCCTAAAACGTGAAGTTGCCTCCGTTAGGTACGTTGAATGCCCTGGCGAAAGAGGTCGTGCATCACGCAGAGAAACCAGGACTAAGTACTCTCAGCTCTATGTACACGACCCATCTTCCTCGGCTTTATTTTCTTCTTCGTGACACCCAAAGCAGCTATCGACTGCGCCGCCTGCTCGTGCTAGCAATCTACAAGCATGTTTAGAAGTCCGACTCATCCTGCGGCATGGCTGATACCCGTTGCATATAAACCTGGATGTATGGATCTCGGCTTTCACTCAGACAAGACGAAGATCTGGATCGTGCTGATATCACGGTAGCACAGGGGGCGGCTATACGCCCTAATTGGACCTGACGAAATAAAGCTCTCGATCAGGTTAGGATGCGACTACGCCCATCTGCACATCTTCAGCCGTCTCTATGATGACTGGACAACGGACTTCATGCAGGGCGTCAGCGGAACTTTAGGGGTATGCGATACCAAGGACCAGAGTCGTTGGCCTGAGAAACCGCACTGGTTGTCTTCCTTCTCTCTCGCACGAGTTCGCCGTCCCTCATTCATGCTCTTGCGTTCGATGTTTGTACAAAGATCACGTATCGACTCACCAATCAACAGTTGTCCTTGACACATTCAGATCTCTGTATTTTGCTGGTCAAGATGTCTACGAGTGCGGAATTCAGAGATCTCAACCACTTCATCGACCAGGCGGGCGCGGCCGCATGGCCCATCTTCATAATTGCGACAATCGTCTTCATTTTGCGAACGATTTCTCGTGTCTTCTACAGCAAAGCATCACTGGATTGGGAAGACTATGTTATTTCCATTTCATGGGTATGTCTTGTTCGCGCCAATCACCAAGCAAACTGACTTCTCCAGGTCCTGGACGTCGTCCGCATGGTCACGTTCCAACTAGCATTGAGCGCAACTCGCAAAGTTGATCTAAACGACCTGGCCGGCACTCTACCCAACGCTTCCTTCTGGAGCCTGTTCACGGACGCCTGGTCATTCCTCAGCGTCACGTCTCCGAAGGTTGGTGTCGCGTTCCTGCTCGTGCGAATCTTCCGACCGCGAAAATGGGTCGCCAACACTATTCTGGGAATGTCCATTGGGCTTTTTATTGTGTGCATTGCTGGATTCTTCATTTGCTTCGTCCAGTGCAATCCAATCGCGGGGCAATGGGACCCGTATAGCCACCCGAAAACAAAATGCTGGCCTCGCAATGTGCAAGTCGACTACTCCTTAATGGGAAGCTGTGAGTGCAGCCACTATATCAATTGCGAGACAGGACATACTAATCGTTTAGCAACGTCCGCGTTTCTCGACCTGGTTTTCGCTCTCTACCCAGGCTTCGTCATCTGGGGACTGCAGCTCCCGCTATGGAAGCGATTGAGCACCATGGGCTTCATGTGTCTCGGTGTAGGGTAAGCAAGACAGCCTCAGACCATTCGATCGACGACAAGCTTACTCCGCCCAGAGCCTTCGCCTTCGCTGTGGTCAAAGTCACCAGCAATACGACTCTCCTCGGCGAGCCCACAGTCACGGAATTCGCACAGAAGGCGTTGCACATTGCGCTGTGGAACAGCATTGAGAACGACTTCGTGATGCTCGCTGCGTGTCTCCCTTCTGTACGCCCTGTGCTGAGGCAGCTTGGCTTGTTTACTCGAACGCACCTCTCGACGAGCAGGCCGACACGCATGACGTCTCCCTCGATATCTGAGCGCTCTCTTCGGCGTGGGGACCACGGCGAGCCGTATGATGGTCGCGCGGTGGAGTTGGGGCATCATCCGCGCTCGATGAACAAGTCGATCCAGATTAAGCATGATGTTTCGCTAGAGTGGGAGCAGGCAAAGCCAAACTTCAGCAATCCTTCCTCCCAGGTATAGGGGGGCTGGTGTAACGCACTATCGTCTTTCCGCACCATTTTTTGTTTTGCCGCTAGTAGTACGTAGGAATATGATGCGAATGGTTGAGCTGATGACTCATGCACAAAACATTGCAACACTCAGGACTGATGACATCCCCAAGTGCTGCCTGACCCGGAAATTTTGAAGACCTATCATCGACATGCGGAGCCGTATGAAGCTAGTCGGCTCGGCCCTGAAGGATCACTCCCGCAACTGGGGTGCAAGCCCGGCGATCTGAACGGGTAGGTGGCACAACATTCAGACGACCTACTGGCGCAAACATGCAGGTCAGCAGCGCCCTCTGGTCTTGCAATCCCGCGTGTTCCCGCTCGAGCGTCTGCGTATTCTCGACGCGGCATAGGGCCACCGCAGGATTGCAGATAACTTGTATGCAGCCTTTCGCCCCCCGAGTTCCTTGCTTGCTTTGCCTCACTTCTGTTTCTACAAACTTTTTGCGAGAAGCACTGTCCAGTAGATTGCGAGTGCGTTTGTCTGACCCTGTACGCGGGCGTTTTCTTATCCAGCTCGGGCTTAAACAGGCGATTTCAAATTATGTTGCAATTTGTGGGTGCATTGGTACACACTGCAGTCATCCAGGAGGTCTGCGAGACAATGTCAGATTTGCACTGACGCATACTTTGGCAAAGACACCGGGGGCTGATATACGTGAAATTGCAGAATTAGTCTCGTACATCCCCATAAATGGTCAAACGTAAGGCAGAGTTACAAGCAGAAAAAGCCTATTGCACGCCCGCCTCGCCCGCGAATTAGAGATTGCGCGCTGTTTGGGACCATCAGACCTGTTCAGATCTGTTTGAGGCTTTTCACTTTCACACGAGCCGAACTCCGACGCGCTACGCCCCCAAGCGGTGCGAGCCTTAATTACCCCGCTATTGGCCACCAATATTCTTTGTCTCCACATGTTCTGAACAGTGCATGCAGGCGCTGTGGCGGCGGCGGCGGCGGCGATGGAGCTGACTGCATTCGCTAGTTCGTGTCGCGCAGGGCATGTACCATGCCTTGCGGCGCGGACATTGCTGTCTGTCTGCTTGAAGAAAGGTCTCGCCACGTCGAAACCCCTGCATGCGCTTGCTTATTACATAGGATCCTGCCGTTTTGAAGAAGCTGACACCCAGACACGGGCGCCACAGGCAACGTCGCCCAACGTCGAGCATCTTCTACTTACTTCGTCGCACTCGCTCGACTCTCCATTCACTGCTGCAATGACCGAACAGACTCCCGCAGCCAACCTCGTGGCTTCTGGTCAGGACTACGAAGACGAAAGCGTGCATGGCGTAGATGCACTGCAGGTCCAACAGCGTTATGGCGAAGAGGCCGCGAAGCGCATGCGTCAAGATGGCAACAGCCAATTTGTAGACGTCTCCTTGGACGGCAAGTTTGCCTCATTCCTTTCCGATCCGTGGGTCGAGAAGGATATGGTGAAAGATGTCAGAGCCATGTTCCCAAACAACGAGTGTCAAGTGCTGATTCTGGGTGCCGGGTTCGGCGGGCTACTGTCCGCGATCCGAATGGTCGAGGTTGGCATACGGCCGGAGGACATTCGTATCCTCGACATTGCTGGCGGCTTTGGTGGGACCTGGTACTGGAACCGGTATCCGGGGCTAAGCTGTGACATCGAGAGCTATTGCTATCTACCGTTGCTGGAAGAGACGGGATACATCCCGCACCATCGATATTCCCAGGGAGAGGAGATCCGCGAATATGCCAACTTGCTCGCGAAGAAGTGGGGAATTTCAGACAGCGCAGTATTCCAGACGCAAGCCCAGAAGCTGGTCTGGGACGAGAAATCCAAGGAATGGCAGGTCAAGCTCACACAACAGCGCAGTGGCGAAGAGCCGAGAATCATCGACGTTCACGCGCAATTCGTCGTGGCATCCAACGGCGTTCTGAATTGGCCGAAGCTGCCTGGGGTTCCGGGCATCCTTGAGTACCAGGGCGACATCTTCCACTCTTCGCGCTGGAACTACGCGCTCACGGGTGGATCGCCGAGTGATCCGTTGCTCACAAAACTGGAAGGGAAACGGGTCGCTATCGTAGGCACGGGGGCGACGGCTATCCAGATTGTGCCAGAGCTTGCTCGTTGGGCCAAGCATGTGTATGTCGTCCAGCGCACGCCAGCGTCCGTTAGCGACCGACAACAGCGCACGACAGACGAAGAATGGTTTCGCAGTAATGTCGCGACATCTAAGGGCTGGCAGCGAGAGCGCCTGCGCAACTTCCATCAGCACTTCACCCTCGACCAACCGCCCTCGACCAACCTTTGTGACGATGGATGGACCCGTGCCCCGGCGCTGGTAGGCCTTGCGGGCAATCCTGCAGGACCTCAGTCTATGGAAGAGATTCCAGCTTACATGGGGAAGCTGCACGAGGTTGATCTCCCTCGCCAGCAGGCGCTGCGGAGCCATGTGGAGAGCGTGGTGAACGATGCTGCTGTCGCAGAGAAACTTAAGGCTTGGTACCCCTCGTGGTGCAAGCGTCCGCTGTTCCACGACGAATACCTCTCCACGTTCAACCGCTCCAACGTCACGCTCGTCGATACCGTGGGCAAAGGCCTCGACAAGATAACTGTAGACTCCATCGTTGTGGGCGACCAAACCTACCCCGTTGACATCATCATCTTCGCCACGGGCTTCCGCGCGCCGTTCATCGGATCGCCCGCAGAGAAGGCAAACGTAAGCATCGTCGGCCGTGACGGCAAGTCGATGAGCGAGGAGTGGGCTCGCGAGGGGCCGTCTACCTTACACGGCGTGCTTGACGCCAACTTCCCGAACCTTTTCCTGTCCGGGCCGTGGCAGGCATCCAACAGCCCCAACTACCTATTCAATCTCGATTTCCTGGCGAAACACTCTGCGCATATCCTCGGCGACGCGAAGCGGCAGGCTGAGGGAAAGCGGTTCGTTGTGAGCGTGACGAAGGAGGCGACGGATGCGTGGGGGATGCAGGTGCTCATGCACTCTTTTCCAGGCGCGGCGATACTGGGTTGCACACCGGGGTACTTCAACGTTGAAGGTGAGCTAGCTCGCGCGCCGCCGGAGAGGCAGATGGTGATTGCAAGGTCAGGTGTTTGGGGTCATGGGATTGAGTCCTTCTGCAGGGAGGTGGAGGCTTGGTACGAGAAGAGCAATATGCATGGCATTGAGGTGCAGACAGTATTGTAAGTAGCTATAGTGATAGTAAGAAGTAGACTGGTAAATGATGAAAGCCCGTCTCCAAGTTAAGGTTAGGCCAGGTCACCCATAACGATCTCTACGATTTACGTACCTAGCGATAGAGTAAGCGTATGCAATTCTAATAATACCCTTCACTTAGCTAGTGAAGGGGTGTTTGCGGTACTATTACTATAGAAAGGTAGAACTTTAGGGGGAGTGTTACAAGGGGGGTAGCGAGGATATACTCACCTAATGTAAGGCTAATTAGTAAATTACTCATAAGGAGTGTTAGGGAGGAGAGTAATTAGGTATTAGCTATTAGGCTCTTGCACGCTATATAAGGTGTAGAGAGTGTGGCTATAACTTACATACGTATAAGAAAGATAATCTAGCTACTACTTAATCTATTGTATTAATATCTATCTATTATTTTATTGCGTTGTTGAGATATGCGTCTGCAAAGGTGGGCAAGTTTAGTGGGGTGCGGCGCTCGCTTGCCACCTACGTTACTCTGTTACGATGTTATTGCATTTGGCCAGTCCAACCATTCCTTCCAATAGGTGCCCAAAGATCCAGTAATGGCCTCGATAAGCATCCGGCCTGCAGGCCCAACAAGCCATAAGTCACGATGTCGATGGAGAAGAACCGCATAATAGCAGAGGATAACCAGGGCTTCAGGTGTGCGCCTCAGAAGCAAGTCGGTGAAATCGCCCGAAAGAAGAATGGGCCAAGCCCATATTAACCCTGCAGGTTGCTTTTCTGTAGGGACGGAATCGTCAAAAGAAGCCTCGGTTTGATAAACCAGTTGTAAATGGGATACTGCGTCTCGACAAGCCTCCTCTGAGCTCGTGCTCACACAGGCGTCATCTAGCAAGCGATAGAGGCGGTCGGCGACGGTCTTAGCTTGCTCTTGCATATTTAACGAGGTGGTTCTTATTAATTGTTCTGCCTGTGTGAGGATCGGAGATATGTTGGACTGCATTAATAAGTCCCACGATTGGGCGGTGATCGCACGGACTCCTCGATGAAGATTTGAATACGATAAGTATTTATCTAAAAAGGTGTCTGCATGGTTTTTTGATGATGCGACTGCTTCTGCAAGAGCATGCATTCCGAGAAAGCTTGTGAAGACGAGCATAGGAGCACAGTTCGCTGAGTTGATCTCGATAGGACTGTCGTTCAGAAAGGCCAAGGCTTGTGTTTGGAGGGCCATAGCTTCCTCGTGGTAAAATTGTGCAAGTTCTGGCCTGGTATGTGACAGGTGCATGGCGGAGAGTGCAAGTATTTGATGCATGAGATAGGGAGCAGAAGAGGCTATCGGCATCAAAACATGAAAGAAGGTAGGGTCCAGCTGATGTCCGTGTGCAAGGCTTGGACCTGTTACCATAATGAAGTTGCTTAATAGCTCCATATGACGCATGTTCACAGGCGGATATAGTGCATCGTGTTGTGCAGGAGACGTAACAGCCAGGCTTGGCGTTTCCGCAGATAGCACGAAAGTTGAGGGAGTCGATATGTGGGCCACCGCGCTCGTGGTAGCCGTCGAAGGGGTCGTTGCAGCAGGCGTAGAAACAACATCGCCAGCTGATGAGGACAGAGGATGAAGCTTCGATACTGCTAGGGGCGGCCTCTGTGCGTGCGCTGGCGAAGGCGGGTAAATGCAGGTTCGGTCGAGAGTCAAACAATTCCTGCAAGCGGGCCGAGCCTCATCGCACTAAAAGAAGCGGCGCTGAGTCAGAAACTTTGACAGTCGATAGGTCAATGATGATCATGGATCGCAATACCTTGACGTGGCGACGTTTACACTCCTGACATCCAAGTCGAGACTTTTTGTGCGGCCTACGACGAGACATGATGAGCCGACTTCACAGAGCACGGCAATGCGTCGTGGTCAGGAGCGGTGTGTCTGCGTGCGCAGTGTTGCGAGCGAAAATTTGAGCTTGGAGGTTGTTAGACCGGCGAACGGAAGGAGCAAACCATATACGAATACGTTGCCAAGAGAGTCGGCGCTGCTCGAACGGATACGATTGGTTGAACAGATACGACGTATTTGATACCTCCGAATACGTTGCCAAGAGAGTCGGCGCTGCTCGAACGGATACGATTGGTTGAACAGATACGACGTATTTGATACCTCCGAATACGACACGCTAGTCCTCAAGAACGCGCAACACGATTAACCCGATCCGACACGCCAGTACGAGGCGTAGGTGCAACGAAATTCACAGATGGTATTTGACATGAACGGATTCCTGAGCCGAAAGATAAAAGTAACGATGGGAACGAACTTTGAAATCTTTCAATGATCCGTTTTACAATGGTTTCTATGGCTCTATTGCTCTCTTTTTGGGCAGCCTTGGTGCCAAGTCTGTCTAGCGTTGTAGCTCAACATCCAATCCATTCTTTCGAGACGGCATGTTCTGCGTTCGCTTCCGCATTCAACCACCCGGGTGTCAAGGTCCAGTTCAGTCAATTTCTTCCACAAGGCTACAACTTGTCAATTACAGATTACGTGAGTCTTCGACTGGCACGTATTTACGATATCTGACCCAGTCAGCCTCAATCATGCCTTGACTCTCAAGGCTCGTCCCCTGTGCAGATACTTGGCGCTGATGTATGTCGTGTCGCCATACTCGTGGATACATCCGCGAATAGCAGTATGACGCTAGAAGCTTGGTTGCCCAAAGCCTGGACAGGCAGATTCCTAAGCGGAGGCAACGGTGGCTTAAGCGGATGTATTCAGTACACCGACTTGTCATATGGCTCATCCTCAGGATTTGCAACGGTTAGCGGCAATAATGGCCATAATGGATCGTCTGGAGCGCCTTTCTACACGCATCCTGAAGTCCTTGAAGACTATTCTTACCGCGCAATCTATGTAGGGAGTATTGTTGGCAAGCAGATAGCTCAAGCCTTCTATGGTCGCGATGCTTCCAAGTCCTACTTCATGGGCTGCTCTGGTGGGGGTCGACAAGGATTCAAGCTGGCACAATCTTTCCCGGAAGTGTTTGATGGTATCATCGCTGCTGCTCCCGCACTGGATTTTGATAGCTTCATTGCCTGGGGCGCGCAGCTTAGCTCCATTGCCGGCTTTGATACTAATTCAACCGAGTTTATCAGCGAATCGCTTTGGAAGGCCATTCATGAGGAGGTGTTGGATCAATGCGATGGTTTAGATGGCGCACTCGATGGGTATGTCCTAAAAAATCGCTTCTGTGACCATCGCTGATCATGAAGAAGTATTATCGAGGACACAGATCTTTGCCATCCGCAATACGAGCGCCTGATCTGTAATGAAACCGCGAACGACTCCTCGAAGTGCTTGACTCGCGCTCAAGTCGGCAAGGTCCGCGCTCTTTATGAGCCTTTGTACAACGATAACGGCTCGTTATTGTATCCCAAACTCCAGCCTGGAACCGAAACAACTTCCTTCGATACATACTTCTCCGGCACACTTTCAAGTCTCTTTTCGGACTGGTTCAAGTATGTCGTATACAACCCTACTTTCGATACTGAGACATTGAGTCGCGAAGATCTCATTGCAGCAGCTTCATATGATCCCTACAATATCAGCACCTCTAAGTCAGACCTCTCGGCGTTCGAGCGAAGAGGCGGGAAACTGCTTACCCTGCACGGGTTCGAAGATAACATTATCCCGACGGACATCAGTACCTCGTACTATCACCGAGTTTCTGAAGCAATGTCACGACCCCCTTCTTCTCTGGATGAGTTTTACCGCTACTTCCGGGTCAGCGGCTTGAGTCACTGCGCACTGGGCAATGGCGCTTATAGCGTAGGCATGTATTCTTTTGGCCTAATCCCCAACGCTATGGAGCAAGACCCTGACGATAATGTTCTTTCCCGGATCGTGGCGTGGGTTGAGCGTGGCGAGGCACCAGAATATATCCGTGGAACTGCCTTTGTCGGTGCATACCCGGGATCGGCAATAGCGTATAAGCGCAAGCATTGCAAATACCCTGCGACGAACAAATATGTTGGACAAGGCAGCTTCACATCTGAAAACAGTTGGACATGTCTATAGATAAAGGAAGCAGCTTGCGCGTCGTTGGTAATGTAAGGTGAAGTGTGTTAGCGGTGATATGTCGAGGGAACACTACCAGGCCTCCGACGCGGTGCAGCTATGGACACTGGACATTAATTCTTCACTCTGTATTTTAAGCATAGATGAAGATCTGAGAGTCTTGACTAGGCCAAGACTTTTTACTTTCCCAGCCTTCTCTGAGCCTGCTACTATAAGCTGAGCCACTAGCTTGTATATAAGGAAGCCAGACTTGGTAAAGTTATATATGTACTCATCTATAATACCATACTTCTCCTCTAGCGCAGTTATTGCGAGACTGCTTAGAAAGCTATGTTACCCAAGGAGCAGCATCGGTGTCGTCGCGACATTATAGTCTCCCAAACCTCACGATGCATTGAGAGAACATTGTCGATCAGACACTAGAGGAATCCAGATTTACTATAGCGGTAGCAGGAAGCTATGAAGGACTGTATTGATCTATGAAAGTTGATACTTAAGACTGCTTTTATACTTGCTCATAGGTGTCCTAGAGACCCGGATGCCTCGGAGGCTTACGTACGTCAGCTTGCGTATCCCCTATCAGCCTCAAACAACCTCAGTACTGTCACATTTACAGGTGGTCTTGGCAATGAAGAACTTTGGACTTAGTGCGATTGGCGCCGACATTAATAGTCCGAGGGTGTTGTTCATGCCTCCAGATATCTTGGATGGCCTGAATGTCGCTCTCTCATAGGTAGATTCAAACGTCAAGAAGAATTAAGATGTTTGTATTGCAGGTGAGGAGTAGGCTGATAGCTACTGCCTCTAAGAGGCGTATTTCCACAAGCCGTACCCTCACTGCACATCAGTGTACCTTTGGAACTATTATCGCTGTCACCTCAATTACAGAACTAGCAGCTTACTACCAATGACATGTCGCAACTTAATGATGTATTGATGCTAAGCCTCCTGTGCTCTATCTTTCTGCTTCTTATTGCTAATTTTAAAGGTACATAAGAGTCTTCTCGGCTCTGCCTAAGTACACTTTGGTACAAGTCCTTCATCGCGCTCGAAATCTTGAAGTGGAGTGTGGCTCATCTTGCGAATAACGATATCGCTTGGGTACAGGAAGAAGAAAACGATGGCCACAGCAAACATTGTTACTGTGTCGAATACGTAGAGCGGCCACTCGTGCGTTAAAAGGTAGCTGTTCTCGCCTGAGACGTACTCTATTATACGGAAGATGGAACGCACAATAATAAGCAAACTGACAGCGTACAGCATGTGCAAAGTCTTAATCCATGCCTGGTCGACCTGGAAGGATGCTTCTGTAGGACGTTTACGAATACGAGAGTGGAAAATCACTGCGGTGATGCCGAAACAAGAGAAGGAGATTAGTTGAATCGCCAGACCTCCAATGACTGCCCACTTCCCGATGATCGCCAGGAAAGGATGGTCGGTACTCAGGATGGTGAGCGGGGCTGAGTTGCCAAGGAATATAAATGAGAGTACGTCGCCGGTAACGAATAGGCCGGTCAGCCAGCGGGGACTGATAATGGACAGATGTGAAGCCTCGACGACAAGGATGATACGTCCAAGGCACATGTAGATGGTGGCAGCAAAGAGAGCAGGCGGAAGAAGTATCATGGTACTCTGGACGACGTACGGCACAATTGCATTGGTGTGATTCCCGGCGGCGGCACGCGCGCAATAACCGACGAACTCCACTAATAGCTGTAAGAACGTTATCATCACAAAGGGCACAGATGCACTTACTGAAGCATCCAATGATGAAGGCTGAGCAGAACCACGTCCGCGTCGTATGCATGCGCCAGCTGAGAAGAGCCGCGATGACGAGCCAGGCTATGGCGAAGATTGCCGAGGCTGGAACGGATGGTACATATTTCCATAAATAGTATGTCCCGCCGTTGATGGGAAGGAGCTCAGGCATGGTGGCAGGACGGTGGTAGAGATGTTGACTGAGTTGTAGACGTAGACTGGTTTGGGGCGGAGGCTTCGATTGCGTTCGGGAGGCTTCGAAAATGAAGCAGTCTCAAAAATTACAGATGAATGGACACTGAAAACACCGTGCGTTAAAGATTGAATAGACAAGCAACAAGGAAGGTGCGAGCCACGAAGATAATTGATGAGAAAAAGAGCGAGACTATATCTGTTTTTCAACCAAAGAGCCTGGCACCACTATCGTCTATCCGTGCTTGAAACGGGATACGAGAGCATGATCCTTCGCTCACTACCTAGTCATCTAATTTTGTTCGTACCTTAACATGTTCTACCATGGTGAAACCCAGCTTCACATACGGAAGGATCATTCAACCTTCCAAGCTCAGTGTTCTATGGGTAATTGCATAGGCACTGCCCGCCAAGGTGACTTGAGGATCCGTTAAAGCGGCTATGTTGAAAATACGGCGTATAGACTAGCATACACGTATAACTCGTATTTCCGCTCCGGGTATCCAATCATCGTCACAACCACGAAGCACGCAACGAGATTCGCACATCACAGCTCAGACTCATGCCCAGCGCGAGTCCGAACGAGATGCCATGTAACATGCAGATCACGGGTTTCTCGCATTTTTCGAGGGAGGTGATGCAGTCTTGGAATTCGAGGATGTGTCGACGCAGACCATTGGCCTTCTGTAGTCAGCATGTAACTTCTTGGGTGAACCTAGGAGTTTGGCTTTGAAGTCGGTGGAGGTTACCTTGCGTGCTGAATCGACGGTCGCAGGGGCGAAGGTGGCGCATAGAAACACGAGTACGTGATGGCTTTGCCAAACGAGGGGTCTGCGCCTGCATTCGCAAGGCTGACCAGATCCAGCCATGGCGAGCAATGATAGTCCAATTGTTTTTCATTATGCTGAAGAGATACGACGTATTTCTGTGGTGAAAAGTGATGTTGTAGTCAACGGCGAAGTCGTCCTTGCCCAAAGACGGTTAGATACCAACATGGCTGGTTAGAACGAACCATCTACAGCATCTGCTCTGGAGTGAGTACGCATGCAGCTGGAGTCATTTGGAGACGTGGACAAAGATCACTAATTGGAAGCATACGCAGGTCCTTTATAGCCCGCGATGCAACTATCGAAGATGCTCGAGCCGTGCCAAGCGTCTATGCTCGCTTAGTCATCAATTTTCTTTCACACAAGTCACTTGGGTAAACTAATTTCATCCTTAGCAACGTCTCTGAACCGCAATGCCCCACCCATCCCGAAATCGCTAAGGTCGCTTGATACGTCCCGAATTTCACATGATCGTTCGTCCGATCCGTGTTCTCCAAGCTGCGAGGATGATCTCCACGCTTGTTGGGCAGAGTGGTCGCGAGTACAACCTCCAAAAAGTGCTCCAACGGCACCCCAAGAAGCCCGAACTTAGCGTCTGCCTTGCGCTGTGAGTTCCGAAACTCCCGCATATCTATCAAACTGGGTGACACTGATCGCTTTTTCCAGCTGTGACAAGACGCCCTACGTCGTGAAGCCCGTCTCAGAGTCCATCTTGGAGCATCTGCAAGAGTTTCGAGCCGAGTTTGAAAGTCATCCTCGTCTTCGCATTCATGTTGACAAGATCGAAAAAGAGAGCATTCTCGTTTACGAATACTTCAAAACCGATTTGCTCGCATTGGTAGAGAATTACCCTCCTCTTCCGTTAACAGCAAGGAAGAAGATATTGAAGGAGATCGGAAACACACTTGCTGAAATGCATGAGAAGAATTGGATCCACCTAGGTACAAAACTACCTGCATGCCCCGGCTTCGACAAAAGCTTTGCTAATTTGACTATAGACGTGAAACCGGACAATATCTTCCTGAATTGGTACGTGGACTCGAGCGACGAATTTCACCTGGGAAAAGTAGTCTTGGGCGACATGGACTGCGCGTTGAAATTAAAAGGCGAGAAACTACTGAACTACAAGATTGGAAACGTCATGTGGCGTAGTCCGGAAGGACAGCTGGGAAGAGGCGTAGGAAAGCCTTCTGAAGTCTTCTCCTTTGCTCTCTTGGTAAGTCTTGTGCTCAATTAGACCTGCACAAGCTTATTAACTGCCCGATCTAGTGTCTCTACGTCATCACGGGGGTGCAGTCATTGCACTTCGACTTCGCGGAGCTTGACACTGAGCCTGAGGTGGTAGTTTTGTTCAAACTACTTTCGACCTTCGGCCCGCTACCAGATGCACTTATGAAGCATGTCGATGATGCGAAGGCTGGTGAGCTTCTGACCAATTTATGGCAGGCAGTGAAGGAGAACGACGTGAATGGGGATTTCGCGGATTGGACAGAGGACGTGTTTCCTAACCTTACCGACGAAGCAAAGAGGTTGATCTTAAGGATGACCAATCTCGATCCAGCTAAGAGAGCAACGATGTCAGAAATTGTCAAGGATAGTTATTGGGTCGAAGATGAGAAGTCTTGAGTGACGGTTGGCGTACAAGGTTCAGCGTGTCAAAATTGAAGCATAGCATTGCGGTGGCTTCTTAACAAGCTTATCTGGTCATGATAGCCCCCGGGTCTTTCCTTGTTTCGCTTCTATGTAACAGCTTTCCATCATGGCATCAACTAAAAAACTCAAACTGTAACTCTACATCCTTCAACTTCCTCTCATTGTCAAGAGTGTCTTGCTGCTCGACATGCCATTCTCTCCTAGAGCTCGCTGGTCCTGAGGAGTGGATCTAAGGATAAACATGCTTGGTCGTGATATGGTTGCCCTTGGAATCTTCGAAGACAGTGGTGAAGTGAGACTTACTATCGATTTCGCTTGGATACTCTTTTTCGCTGAGGTCCGTTGTTAGCCTTGTCAAGCACAATGATGAGAGGAATGTCTCTCACTCTAAGATCGCAATAGCGGCACCAGCAGGGACGTCACCGGCCTTCTTTAAAGCCTCGCAAAACTCGTCTTGCACGCCCTACGCCAAGAAGCTACGCTCCCAAGTGGAAGTCTTGGTGGCATACTTGACTTGAATTGCTTTACCGCCTGCATTAACAGTCTTGATCACTTTGCTAGAAATGACTTTGTTGTAGGACATGTTGCGAAGAGAATACTTGTAATGTAGATGGATAGATGGTCTCGGAAGAGGTCGTCTTGATTTGCGGATGTGGATTCCAATTACTGGTCTTTCTTGTGTCTTTCGATTCTGTGGCTTGATTCAACATATGTTCGTTGACATCACTTTTATATTCAACCAGCGCGGCTGATTTATCGACCGCCTTGTATATTGAGCTCTATTGCTTGCACAATTAACAAGTGACCCAGAAAACACCCATCACCAAGATCACTGCACTGTTCGTCACCGGCGGCAAGGCGCGACTGAGGCACGGTCATCGGCGCTGAAGATCTATTGGTTCCAATGTACTCTAAATAGCCACTATAAGTGGACTGCCAGCGTGACGCTGGAAGTATATTTACCAGCACTACATTTCGTTGGTCAAAGTAGTGGCACGACGAGAGGATGTCGTTTCAAACATTGATGTTCTGGAAGGGAGATGATAATGCCGTTTATATTATTCTACCAAGGGACTCTAGAAGTCCTCTAAGCTTGGCCCAGGCACCTCCAGGTAACCCTGATCGTAATTACACGCAACACCATTCATATAACACCAATAAAATTATTAGACGAGCTGATGATACGAACAATGTGAGGCCAATGTTCCATGCAAAAGAAGCTGCAAGAAGCGCTTGGTGATCGCCTCTAAGCGCTTGGTCCGGAGCAGATGGTTGGTGACGAAAAGAGTTTAAGGTTTGCTTTTAGGGTCGTGGTTAGAAACCATTTCGCTAGTACCTCGGTGTCTTTCGCGGCGGCAAATGCCTGCATTATTATTGTGACTATGAATAACTTTATATAAGAGGAATTCGGCGTCTCGCTGTGTGTAGTGTCTGCAGGAAAGCGGCCTTGGAAGGTTATAGTACCTAGGTATTGTCTCCGTATGCCTCGCGTCCCAATTCCACGCTATATGAGAGTGCGTTCTTGCGTAGGAAGCCGAATTCCAGCTCGGGGTATTGTTGCACTTTGGAGTGGGGGCCAATATGCAATTCCGTGCCGCTCCCCGTGCTACACTAATTGCAGAGGCCTTAAGCACGCAAACCTTCCCCAAGCCGCATTTTGCCTCAGCATCCAACACTTGGCAATCTTAGAGTTCTACCATCTACATATACGACTGCACACGGACTAAGTTCCCACCTCCTTGAATGTGCCGCATGCTGGGTTAGGTATACAACCCCTACTTAGGCTGTCTTCGCCTCGCCCATCTAGCCAGAACACCGCGCTGAACCGGCGGTGGTGACGTTGCGCAAACTCGACCGCAAGCTATATCTTACTTATATTCCCCAGTCCACGTAGGATATATCTCTTCTGTTAACTATTCTGTCAATGCCTAGGCAGCAGTACACACGTTCGATCTCTTCCATTTGCACTAGTCGGTTGACGAAATGGCTTACTTGTGGAACACCCTTAAGGCTAAAGGTGGTATGAAATTCTCTAAAGTCTACACAGCATTTAGCTATAGTACTTAGTATCTGTATAGTACGTTAGACTAATAGTCTCGTCCGGCAACGCTGCCCACACACGCCTATATCTACTTATACACCTCCTACGAGCTAATGTACCACTATGTCGCTACCACCATCTCCTTAACCTTTGCCGCCTCTTCCAGCCTAATGTCCTCTAGCCCCCACACTACGTTGAAGCAGTAGTACCGCCCATACTGTCTAGTAGCTGCCGCTCACACCGGAACCGCTCGGCCCTCTGCTCAGTCTCTATCGCCTTAGCAATAAGTTTGTCACCAATGTACAGCACGCCCGTCCCAATTAACACCAGGCACTTGACGCGTCCTTCTAGCGGCTCTGGTCCCACACCTCGCGGACCGGGTTATTCGCGCCCATCGCCTCGTCTACAAACTCTTCGCCAAAGCGTCCTAACCGATAAGCAGCGACGGATCTGGCCGAATCCGTGCCAGAATGGGTTTAACGTTAGGGTTCGAGCGCGCAGGATCGGGAATTTAGGGGGCAAAACCATATGGCAAATCCGCGTGTGTTCCAGCCCAAATCCATGAAATCATCTCATAGGAAAGGTGTTCATCTTACCTTTCCCCACGCCTCCGTCGCTTTGCATCCTAAATTGGACATCATTAGTGTTGCGTGGTAGGGTTAGGGTAAATAGACTTAGGGTTATCTATAGAACTCGTCTGGGACGTATAGACTAGCAACATTAGAAATAACTAATAGCTGGCGCTGTAGCACCTATAACTAATTACTAGTAAAGGCGCCTAGGAGATAGTAGCATAGTCTATTAAAAATATTAAGGAGTATCTCTAGTACTTATATAGGTATGGGGTCCTAATCTATAAGAGCTATAAGGCTAGCGTATAGAATCTTAATATCTATCTCGACTAATACTATACTATACTAATAAAGATCCACCTCGTAATTATTAAACACTTTAAACACTTCTAGGTTAAAGATCTAAAGATAATTAGTCTCCTATTATAATGGGCTACGCCCTAGATACCAGACCTCCCCCACTATAGACTAGGCGGCTCACCCTAAGGTTATGTAACTTAGACTATATAGCACTAGGAGCTGGCGGGTAGAGCCTATAAGCGATTCGTCTATTCTATACCTAAATACTACTATCTCTCTACTATTAAAGTTAAGGCTACACTATTCACCCCATATCTCTAACATTTAAATCGCTTACCCTTTTTTTTAAGCAGTTTAGTCCTTCATAATAATACTATCTAATAATGGCCTATAACCTCCACTCAATAGAATCCTATAGTAGGGAATTAGATAACCACGCGCTATTAGATATAGAATCTCCTTATCTAACTTAGTTACCTCCATCTAATAATTCTTAAGAATAGTTAGGTACTATTCATGCTAGTTTATACCCATTAGGGATAGGGCGCTCTAGAATAGGCTGTGTAACGGGGGTCGCTTTACTAGGAGGCTAAGCTAACCTCGAAAGGGGGTTCTAGTGGGAAATGAGGGCTTTAGGAAGCGGTATAGTCGCGTTAGGTTAATGTATTAATTAACTATAGTAAGGTTGTATTGCCAAAACATTACGAGTAATCTTTCCTATAAGGAAACTAGATGTAATAACTGTATCGTGGATTAACGATAATAGATTACTATGGGAATCCGTCATCTCTATATACTGCTATTAGACCTGGCTCTATAGGCTCTACCTTATAGAGCCTGTAGAGCCGGCTCTATAGGCTCTACACCATAGAGCCTATAGAGCCGTCACGTAACCTTATCACGTGCCCTAATGCTTACGTGTCTATGTTATGGTAAGCGCTGTTGCCATAAGTAATATCTCCCTAGTTAAAACCCTAGTTATTGTCATTGCTGTTATCGTAATTACCCTATAGGTTATTCTATTACGGCGTAGCTGTAACACCATCCCCTCCTTCTAAGGTTTTAGTCTAGGGATTAATCCGTGATAGGGGTCCGGCTATATTAGTAGGGCTGGCCCCATTATAAGTTTAGTATTTATGGCCCTCTATGTCTTCCCATAAGATACTTAAACGACTGGGGCTTGCCAACTAGATTAGCCTACGTGGATTCCTTACCATACCCTATTCTTACTATGCCAAAAACAACCTTCCTTATATTATTTCTCTAGAAGATACCCTAAGACGACTAGCTTATAAAGCCTATGTTTATACGAGTGTTTGGCATCACTATAATGTTAAGGGAGTAATGGCCTCGTCTAGTTAGTTTTCTATCCTATCCCTTATTTTAAGGCTTATAATTTCTAGTGCAATCGCTTAATTACTCCTAAGCCAAAATTGTAGCTGAACTTACCGTGGTTGAGAAGGTGTAGGAACGGCTTCTAGATAACCTAGCTATAGCTCGTGCCTATATATCCTAACTTTAGAAATAGAAGGCTCTTCTTAATAGGCGGGTGGGAGATTAATCTACCCAACTAGAACTAGAGTTAGATTAAGAAGAGGCGGATCTATAAGCTATAGGTTTATAGGATAAGGTGGAGTCTCTTAAAGTAACTTACTTTAAGAGACTCCACCTCTTTACTAATAATAGTAATTCTTAAAATTTACTATAAGGTGGTCTAAGTAGTTAGAATCCTAGTCTAATGTCCCCTAGCTTTCTTTAAGAGATTAGTTTAGCTAGAACTCCTCTAACTTCTTAGGGTAGTTAAGGTTTCCCTTAGGTTCCTAGGTCTTATCCTATAGGTTTCCCTTCTTGTCTTCCCCTAGCCACTTGACTTTATAGTAGTTCTGGCCATTTACAATCCTATGGCCTATAATACTAGTAACTTCCCATTCTTACTACTAATCTCTATAGGTATCTAACTCATATACTATAGGTTC